CGTCAGTGAAAGCAGATTTCCTTCCAAATCCACGTAAGGCTCAATCTCTCTTTTTTCTTTTTTTTTTTTTTTAAACTTTGACTTTTTCAGAGCCTGGTTCTTTCCATTCTCAACCTCCTTGACCTTGTCAAGGTTGAGGAGCGAAAAAATGAGATGGACGAGTTGGAGGCCAAACTTTAGTCCCTCGTTACCGATGCAAAGCAAAAGCTGGAAGACGCCAACGAGAAGAGGGACGTGGCCCTGGCCAAGCTGGCGAGTCTGGAAGAAGAGCTTTTAAAGCTAAAAATGACATTGCGAGTCTCAAGGAACGGGCGAACTTATCTGACAAAAAGTTGTCCGAGGCAGCTAGGGAGGTAGAGAGGCATTTTCTTGAGGGGAAGACTGAGGGGAAGAAAGAGGCTGAGGCGGAAGCCGCATTTGTCTTCGACGCCAGGCGTGTCGAGGTTATCGAGGAGTTAAAGGCCTCCCAAGAGCTTATTGATATTCGCACCAGAGACTTTCAATCTGCGGGTCAGCAAATTGTCGACCTGATCAAGAAGGAGCGTCCTGAGTGGGACTTGAGCTTTCTCTATAATTCCCCCCCTGCGGGTGACGTCAATGCTTCTCCGCCTGGTGACGGCGAAGACCCGGGAGCCGCCGGCGAGGCCTGAAGGACTTTTACCTGCCTCCTTTTGTTTTGTAATAGAGGATTTTGTTGATCCAGACATCTTTTACTTTAGCTGTTTATATATATATATATATTCAAATGACCACAGTTTTCATTTATACCTTGATTCGCACTTGCTGCTTTCTTTTAAGTCTTCGTCTTTCTTTTCCGGGAGATCTGGCGTCGAGCATACCCCTTGGGGTCGTCATTTTTAGGAAATTTCTTGGAATTTCGCTAAGTTTTTCGTCTTTCCTCCTTGGAGGGTCTGACGTCGATTGTGCCCCTTGGGGTCATCGTCTTAGTTAATCCCTTGGAATTTCGCTAAGTTTTTCGTCCTTCCTCCTTGGAGGATCTGACGTCGATTGTGCCCCTTGGGGTCGTCGTCTTAGGAAATTCCTTGGAATTTCACTAAGTTCTTTTTCTTTCCTCCTTGGAGGATCTAACGTCGATTGTGCCCCTTGGGGTTGTCGTCTTAGGAAATTCCTTGAAATTTTGCTAAGTTCTTTGTCTTTCCTCCTTAGAGGATCTGACGTCGATTGTGCCCCTTGGGGTCGTCGTCTTAGGAAATTCCTTGGAATTTCGCTAAGTTCTTTGTCTCTCCTCCTTGGAGGATTTGACGTCGATTGTGCCCCTTGGGGTCGTCAACTTAGGAAATTCCTTGGAATTTCGCTAAGTTCTTTGTCTCTTTTTTTTTGTTTAACCCGCGGATCCTTGTCTCCCCATGTCTATTTAATATAACCTCAGTTTTTAAGCAGACATGTTATTAAGGGGTGAATTCTTTTCTTTCTGCAAACATATCAATTTATTTACTTTTTAAAGAATGTACAACTGGGATATGCGAGAATTTCATACATTATTGGTAGTACAGCTTCAGTTGTTCCGCATTCCACGGGTGTTAGATCTTCTTGTCGTCGAGGCTTTCCAAAACATAGGTTTCGGGACGCAACACTTTCCTTATGCGGTAGGGCCCTTCCCAAGTTGGGCCCAGTGGACCGGTATTCTTGGGTTTTGTGCTTTGCGTTACCCTTTTTAGTACTAGGTCCCCTGGGATTAACCTCCTCTGTCGAACTTTCTTGTTGTAATATCGCGCCGTTCTTTGTTGATAAGCAGTGAGGCGTAGTTGGGAGTCGAGCCTTTTTTCCTCTAACAAGTCGAGCTCTCCGTTCATGCCTTCCGTGTTGTCATCGTCGTTATGGACGATGGTTCTTAGAGTCGGCGTTTCAATTTCTATGGGGAGTACTACTTCGATGCCATATGCCATGGAGAAAGGTGTCTCACCCGTAGTAGTTCGGCTCATCGTTCTGTATGCCCATAGGACCTTGGGAAGTTCCTCGGCCCATTTCCCTTTCAGATCGTCGAGTTTTTTCTTGAGGGTATACTTTAATATCTTATTGACCGCCTCGACTTGTCCATTGGATTGTGGATGGATCGGTGCCGAAAAATCTTTCCAGATGCCCAGGTCATCACAGAACCTGCGCGTTGAGGCGTTGTCGAACTGCCTTCCGTTGTCGAATACGATTGAGTGGGGAACCCCGAACCTGCATACGACGTGATCCCACATAAATTTGGTGCAAGCTGCTTCCGTGGTTGTAGTTAGGGCCTTTGCCTCTGCCCATGTTGTGTAGTAGTCTACCACAACGATTGCAAACTTAAATCCTCTGGGTGCAAGATGTAATGGCCCGATCAAGTCAACCCCCCATTTGGCGAAGGGCCAAGGACTGAGTATGGAAGTTAAATGTTCCGGGGGCACCCTAGGAATCGTGGCATACCTTTGGCACTTGTCGCAACGTCGGGCGTACTAGAAAGCGTCCTTTTTGAGCGTGGACCAGTAGTACCCTTGTCGTAACACCTTTAGAGCCAAAGACTGCCCCCCAGAGTGGTTTCCGCAGATCCCTTCATGGATTTCGTGGAGGACCTTTTGTGCCTTGGTTTCATCCAAGCACCGTTGTAGAGGGGTTGAGTAGCCTCGTCGGTAGAGCAAGCCGTCATACAATAAGTATCTAGCGGCTCTATACCTGGTCTGTCTGGCTTCATCCTTTCCGTTTGGCAGCTGCGCGTCCATTAGGTACCGGATGAGGGGGGTCATCCAACTTTCATTTACTCGGACAATTAACGCCTCCACCTTTTCTTCTATAGTCGGTCGCTCCAATTCCTTGATGGGGATGACCCCTAATGTGTCAGATTCTCTAGAAGATGCTAGCTTTGCCAGAGCGTCGGTGCTTGCATTCTCGGTTCGTGGTATATGGAGTACCTCGTAACTTTTAAACTTAACGAGTTCTTCCTTTACCTTTCTTAAGTACGCTCCCATCTTCTCGCCGCGCGCTTGGTATTCTTCCTTCACCTGCGCGACAACTAATTGAGAATCGCTGAAGACACTGAGTCTTTCAACCTTCAGGTGGCTGGCTAACCGCAGTCTGGCAATTAGTGCTTCGTATTCCGCCTCGTTGTTCGACGCCTTGAATTTAAATCGGACCGCCGAGGTAATTTTGTGGCCTTCGGGGCTGATTAACAGGATGCCGGCTCCTGACCCATTTTCACTCGACGCCCCATCCACGTAGAGTTTCCAGTCCATAATGTCGACTTCTCCTGGTTCGGCGGGAGTTGGCCTGTGGGAGAACTCAGCTAAGAAATCAGCGAGCGCTTAGCCCTTGATTGCAGTCCTCGGCGCGTACTTTATGTCGAATTGGCTTAATTCTACCGACCATTTGAGGAGTCGACCGGAAGTTTCGGGCTTTTGCAGAGCCTGCCTCAGCGGGTGGTTTGTGAGAACCCGTATTGTGTGAGACTGGAAATAGTGCCGAAGCTTCCTTGAAGCTACCATCAGGGCGAGGGCAAGGCGCTCCATCTCACTGTACCTTGACTCGGCGTCGAGAAGCCTTTTGCTCACGTAGTAGATTGGCAGCTGCATCCTCTCTTCTTCTCTTACTAACACGGAACTTACGACGTGTTGGGATACTGAGAGGTATAGGCTGAGCTCTTCGTCGACGTTCGGTTTTGATAGTATTGGGGGCTTACCCAGATGTTCCTTCAACTTTTGGAAGGCCTCTTCGTATTGGGGTGTCCATTCAAAACGCGTGCTTCCCTTCAAAGCATCAAAGAAGGGGATGCATTTGTCGGTTGCTTTTGATATGAACCTATTTAAGGTGGCGACACATCCTGTCAATCTCTGACCTCCTTCGGCTTCGTTGGGGACCGCCGAGGTAATTTTGTGGCCTTCGGGGTTGATTAACAGGATGCTGGCTCCTAACCCATTTTCACTCGACGCCCCATCCACGTAGAGTTTCCAGTCTATAATGTCGACTTCTCCTGGTACGGCAGGAGTTGGCCTGTGGGAGAACTCAGCTAAGAAATTAGCGAGCGTTGGGCCCTTGATTACAGTCCTCGGCACGTACTTTATGTCGAATTGGCTTAATTCTACCGACCATTTGAGGAGTCGACCGGAAGTTTCGGGCTTTTGCAGAGCCTGCCTCAACGGGTGATTTGTGAGAACCCGTATTGTGTGAGACTGGAAATAGTGCCGAAGCTTCCTTGAAGCTACCATCAGGGCGAGGGCAAGGCGCTCCATCTCGCTGTACCTTGACTCGGCGTCGAGAAGCCTTTTGCTCACGTAGTAGATTGGCAGCTGCATCCTCTCTTCTTCTCTTACTAACACGGAACTTACGGCGTGTTGGGATACTGAGAGGTATAGGCTGAGCTCTTCGTCGACGTTCGGTTTTGATAGTATTGGGGGCTTGCCCAGATGTTCCTTCAACTTCTGGAAGGCCTCTTCGCATTGGGGTGTCCATTCAAAATGCTTGCTTCCCTTCAAAGCATCGAAGAAGGGGATGCATTTGTCGGTTGCTTTTGATATGAACCTATTTAAGGCGGCGACACATCCTGTCAATCTCTGCACCTCATTCGGCTTCGTTGGGGACCGCATATCTTGTAGGGCCTTGATCTTCTCTGGATTAGCTTCAATCCCTCGGTTACTGACCATAAAACTGAGGAATTTTCCCGATCCAACTCCAAAGGCGCACTTTTGGGGATTGAGTTTCATGCGGTATTTTCTTAGTACGCCAAACATTTCCCCCAGATGGTTGACGTGACGGCTGGCCTTAGTGCTTTTTACTAGCATATCGTCAACGTAGACCTCCATTGTCTTGCCGAGTTGTTGGGCAAACATTTTATTTACAAGCCTCTGGTAGGTAGCCCCTGCATTCTTCAGGCCGAAAGGCATTACTTTGTAGCAGTAGAGGCCCCTGTCGGTTATGAAGGATGTGTGCTCCTCATCGGCTGGATGCATGGGGATTTGGTTGTATCCGGAGTAAGCGTCCATAAAGCTCAGCATCTCATGCCTCGCCGTGGCGTCGACCATTTAGTCTATGCGAGGGAGTGGAAAGCCATCCTTTGGGCAGGCTTTATTGAGATCACTGAAGTCGATGCATGTTCTCCAATCTCCATTGGGCTTGGTCACTAAAACGGGATTTGATACCCAGCGAGGATAATGAGACTCCCTGATGAACCCATTATTAATCAGCTTGTCGACCTTTTCTCTCAGCGCCTCATACCTCTCGGGGTTCATCGGCCGACGCTTTTGTCTTTTGGGTGGATATGAGGGGTCGACGTTCAGGGAGTGACATATTACTCCGGAGTCGATTCCTTCCATGTCGGAATGATTCCAGGCGAAGTCATCTAGGTTCTTCCTGAGGAAGTCTTCGATCTCATTTTTTGAGTGATGAGGCTAAGCCTGAGCCCATTTTTAGCACTTTGGCGGACTCACCTTCACCAACTCGGACTTCCACCAACTGTTCCACAGGTCGAGACCACGTGACTTCCTCCTGGATCTGGGGATCTATATCCTCGACGAGGCCTTGGTGAACCATCCTTGTCTCCTGTCTCCCTAGTTGGTCATATCCGCACATGGCGTTAGAATACGCAACCCTAGCTTCATACTGGTTGCTTTTCATTTCCCCCACGCCATTCGGGGTGGGGAACTTGACCTTTTGGTGATAAATGGAGGTTATTGCTCTTAATGCTTGGAGGGTTGGCCTCCCGATTACCGCGTTGTACTAGGAGCTTCCCCTTATGACCATAAAATTGGCCATTGTGGTTGCCTGTCGGGGCTTTTCACCGGCGGTTATGGGCAGGCGGATGGTCCCTTGAGGGATGACGGAGTCGCCTGTGAAGCCATACAGCGGCCTGGAGGTTTTCTCCAATTGTTCCTTCTGGATCCCCATTTTTCCCAAGCAATTGGAATATATGAGGTCCATCGAGCTCCCATTGTCCACCAGGATTCTTTACACGGTGTGGTTTCCTATCATGGCTTCCACCACCAAGGCATCGTTGTGGGGAAAATGAACCCCACAAGCGTCATCCTCATTAAAAGCCACATCAGTGTGGCTGTACCTTGGAATTTTTACGGTGGAGACGCTCCAGAAACGCTCTTGATAAACCCCCTGGCCTCGTGGGCGTAATCCTTTTGAGATCTCCTCGAGTCTCCTCCTATGTAGGGACCGCCGAGGACAGTCATTATGACGCCGACGGGTTCACGATCCTCTGGGCGCTGGTTCTCCTCTCGGCGTCGACCATCATTCTGCCCACCATGGCCGTCATTTCGGGGCCTTCGTTCGGCCCGGAATTCCTGCAACTTTCCCTCGCGGATCAATCTTTCGATCTCGTCTTTGAGGTCGGCACAATCGTTGGTGTGGTGGCCGACATCGCCATGGAACCTACAGAATTTCTTCTGGTTCCTTCGGCTGGGGTCTGACTTCATCGCCTCCGGTCGGCGCAGCAAGTTCCCGCGACCGATTTGGTTGAAAACCTCCTCGACTCCCACCGTTAGCTCATGGTAGGAATCATACTTTTGGAACAGCCGAGGCCTTCGGGTGTCCTCTTGCCTTGGCTTTTGGCTTCCGGAGCGCTCGTCGTTGCGGCGGGTTGCTTGTCTCTGTTTCCTCCGCCTCGACGCTTCTTCCTATCCTGCTTCGTAGGCGCTGACCCCTGTTTGGTTCCTTTAATCTTGTTGGTCCGGTGCTCGGGGTCGTTCGCGTCTGCCTCTTTAGCGTTGATGTACCCCTGCGCTCGCGCCAGAAATTCTCTATAGCTGGTTGGGGGTTTTCGGTTTAGCTCTCTTTTGAATGGGGTTATTTTCTTCATGCTAGATAAGGCCCCCATCAGGGCTTCTCTGTCTGTTATGTCCATTGTGGCGGCGACAGCCTCCCCATCCCTTGCGAGCCATTCCCTCAATGACTCGTTTGGCTTTTGATATATCGTCGTTAGATTCTGCTTTGGGGGGACGTACTTTTTTACCCCTATGAATTGGAGGGAAAATGCTTCCTTCAACTCATCCCAGCTCGAGATAGAGTTTGGCCTCAGCGTTCGGAACCATCTCCGCGCAGAATCTGTCAGATGGTTTCGAAAGGCTCGGCACATGATCTCTTCGGCGTAACCGTGTAATAGCATGTGCCCGGTGTACATCTCCAGATGGTCATCGGGATCTCCTCGCCCATCGTATGGCGGGATTGATGGTGACCTATACTTATCGGGGAGAGGGGGTGCCATTATTTCTTCGGTAAACGGATGGTCATGGGTGCGACTGGGGGTGATATCGACGTTTACCACCTCAGCCACACGACCTATATTCTTTTTCAGGCTCGCCACGTCCCCTGTCAGTTTTTGCTCCAGGCTGGCCATACGTTCCATGATGGCGCGCGCTTCCTCTGTCGAAATGGCTGAGCCGGCTACTCTTGACGCTTCCACCCTCTGAACGTTGGGTCCACCTCGGGCCTGGCCGCCTACCTGCACTGAGCTTGAGTCTCCTGGCGGGTTTTCACCTAGATTCTGAGGCAGTACCTCGGGGTTTCCAGGACCTTTCAGTACCCGATCCTCAGGAGCTCGGAGCCTGGCGGCCCCCAAACGGCTGCCGGGGGATTGGGAAGGCCGAGGCCTAGGAAGGCCCCGGCGATTCTCACTATCTGCGGTTCCCTCTTGGACAGGTGGGTAGTCACCGCGGTTTGGATCTCCGGCTAGGGCGGGTCTCTGTGGGATCAGAGCATCTTCTAATGGTATCATGGAGTTCCTTCCGTCTAAGCGTTCCACCACGGTCATCAGCCCACGTACCAGCTCGGTTAGAGTGGTCAGTTGGGCCTGCATCTGCATCGGATCCGGCTGTGGCGCTTCTGGAGGTGGAACTTCATGTCCAACCGGGCGTAGATCTCCTTCCATCCCGCTATTCCCTGGACGGGCGGCGGCTTGTTGCTATGTTGTTAGGGGTCAAACGCTTTCGGTCCCCAGTGGAGTCGCCAATTGTTGACGGTCGAATTTCGCCAACAAAAAACCGGCCGGGTTACCTCTTGGTTTCCCTTTGGATTACCGGCCGTGTATATATATTTTGACGTGTCAGGAAATGGTGAATTATTTGTGTGGGAGGATCTATTGAAAACCCCTAAGATATTAATGACACAAGAGAATTTATAGTGGTTCACTCTATAAATTTCAGAGCTACATCCACTGTAATCTTGTATTTCTTTATCTTTGGGTAAGATACAGTTTACAATGTATTTTCTTAGCTTGCATTTTTTCTTTGGGTAAGATACAGTTTACAATGTATTTTCTTAGCTTGCGTTTTTTCCTGAACCGCTTCCTCGTTGGGGGTCTTTCACCTTATATACTGGGGCTTCCTTCACTCGGGAGGTTTCCCTCACAGCTAGAAGCACTCAAGTGCTCTCCTTTGGTAGGCCCAGACGTAGTCCACTAATTTGCACTGTTCATCCAATCTGTTTAGTCTTCTATTACGGCTCTGTGCTTCTCCATAATACTTTCTTGTCCCCTGTGGGGGCAGTCTGACAGTTCGTAATTAATGCTCGCAGACCACCTCCACTTGTGCACGTAACCCGCAATGTCCCCTAAAGAACGTTTCCCTCGTCGCCAGTACTTCTTAGCCCAACCGCCTTCTTTGATGGCAACTTCCTGTGGTCGAGAGATCTTTATCCTATTGCGTCGATGGCGCAATTGGTCGGCGCCACAATGGGTCGTCGTCTTGACTTAGACTCCCTCCCGGAACCTTCGCGGATGACTAAGAGGAGCTTGCAAGCATCGAGGGCCTTCAAGCGTCGAGGGTTGCTTGCTTGGTGGGGGTTGATCAAGGCCACGTGTCGCAGCATACTTCGCCCAAGCGTCTGCCATATTTTTCCACACAACATATAACATGTTTTTTTTCGTTGAAATACCATACTGAGGCAGGATTTTAGTTGGGAGTGTTTCCTTTTTCCGTCTTTCCCCGTCTCAAATCCCATTAGTAATCCCTTGTCTCATGCCTCGTGAGGGCGGGCCCCGGAAAAAAAATGTCATTGTTATTTTGTAACACTACAGGGGCATTGACCATTCATGAAAGGAAAGGTCAAAAAATGATAAGTGATTCCCTTTTTAGCATATCATGTGTTTGCTTACAAAAACATTAACAAAAATTTAATGGACCATGCATAATGTGCAAAATAAAAAAGAATGTTAATCATAACTCTCCTTTATATTGAATTTTGGTTATATACTATCACATGTTATAAGTCAATAATAATTTAATTATGTAAATAAAAATTAGTAATAACTCTCCTTTATATTTAATTTTAGTTATATACAATCACATATTAATTATGCAAATAAAAATGTATTAATTACATCGATAAAATGTTTATCATTAGGTATGATAAACACAAGAAAAAATTGAAAATGTGTCCAGTACTCCGGCATTTGATACTAATATAGCATTATTTCGTTCAATGCGATAACATTGTGTACATTATTGTTTGGGATGGCAATGAGGCTGTGACCGGAAAAATTCAAGAGCTAAATCTTGAACTTAATCAAGATTTAGAGAATGAATTTTCTCATACTCACATTTTGTAAGCAAATCGAATTTTTTTGAATTCGATATTTTGAGAAATGAAATTTAGTGATTTCACTTCTCACTAAATTGTTCTAAGTTTAATTAAGTTGCAATGGTGCATTTAATTTTAATGTATTTACTAAGACAAGTTTGATGCCACAAGGATTTAATTTTCTTAAGTGTTGACAAAAATTGTTTCAAAGTGGTCCACTATTGAAATTGGACCCATTATATTACAGTGATGCCAAGTCCAAGAAAGAATTAAATTGACTTTATTGTCAATTTAATTAGCATGAGATAAAGTTCTCATTTATAATTAGTTTTGGGGATTAAAGCCTAAGCTATATTTAGTTCACGTTTGGAAGACTTATTTCAAATGAAGGCCTAGTATTAGATGGAGGTTTAATTAAAGGAGTAGAATTAAAAAAAAAAAAAAAAAGATAGGTGAACCGGCAGGTAGAATGGGGAAAAAGTGGAGGAAATGGTTATTAATATATCAACCTTATTTGTTTTTCTAAAAAAAAGAAAAAAGAAAAAGAGAAGTGGATAACAACAAAACTAAATTGCCGGTGGGTTGGGGGCCAATGTGTGCGCCCGCGACCTACGGACACAAATGCTGGACCGGAGAACTCACTCCGTGCGAGCTACCTTTTGCAATTTTTTCTTTTATTTTGTCAACTAAATTCCGAAACTGATGCATTAGTGGCTGTTTAAAGTCTGCATTAAACCTCCGGTTTTAGACTTCTTTTTGGACCAGATTCATCTGGGAATTCCAGGGGCTGTAACCGCAGAATTCAAGCACCATCAAACCATGAATAAATTGGTTTTATTCACCTTCATTACAGCCTTGTAACATCCCTCACGGGTAGGCTATATAAGGGCCATCCTCCACATAAACAAAGCACTCATTTTCAGAATTCTTCTTCTCATTCTCTCGCTTCTGTTTCTATCCCCGTGCTTTTTGTGCTTTGTGTTCTTGTAGTTCGGTTTGGTGATAGAGGGAAGGTACGAGTTCTAGTTCGCCGGACGGTTCCGATAGTGCATCGAGCTACCGTCATTATCGTTGTATCCTGGGAGATAGGATGTCCTACGTTGCCTCAAGCACTAACTGGAGGGGATGAATCTGTTTTAAGGAAAACGTGGTTCATGTGCCTCGACTTTTTCCAATTCCGTTTTCAAGTTTGGTAGGAAGGTTGAATTAATTTGCATTGTATAATTTCAGTTTTTCATTTCCCTATAATTTTGATCTTCTTTGTATTATCCAATTTCGGCTAACAAGTAGCACCAAAAACAAAAAAAAAAAAACAAAAAAAAAAGTTAAGGCAAAATGCACTTTTCCCATGTAATACCTCTACC